GTAATAAATTAACACAATCCTTCGAAAAAATTTGTGTAAAAATAATGTATATTTACTATTATCAATCATTTTCTTTATTTACTATTATATGTTTCACAGATATATATGTATATCTATGACAATATAGTTCATCTTTATTTTACGTATATACAGATAAATTTATTTCAGATTAAATAAAAAATAAGTTATATTTTATACTTATACTTGATTTATAATTTTCAATCATAATTCAATTACAATTTTTAGACTTCGAAATCTTCCTCGGCAGCTGGCAATATTACAGTTGTGACGGTCAAAGGTTTCGGATTTGATTTCTTGCAGAGTAATATTTTAACTTTTCCCGATATTTGACTCTTCAAGTTTGCACTAATAGCTATTGGTATAGGCACTGCACTTGGTAGTAAAGGTAAATCTACGACACGAGGATTCACATCGGTGTCTTCGGCTCTACAGAGAATATATAATTCAGTTGGGGATACACTTTCTGAGATATTCGTTACTATAATGCGAATCATGTAATTGGGACCCAAACCGAGAACATTTGTTTCCAAGCTGATAGGATTCGGTCCTGATGCTTGGTTATCGCTTAAATGCTCGGCCGCTTGTTTGGCCGCTGCCAAACGTAAGCGGAGGAAACCTTGCTGAAACGTATTATGAATTTTCTTCGCCTCGGCTCTCTCTCTTATCGTTTGATCCACGAATAATCGTGTTTTCTTCGGTATCGAAAACTTTGACGTGTTGCTCGATGTCGAATTCGATATTGAATTGTTCATATTAAAGTCAGCAGTGCGTTTTAAGATTTTCATACATAAACCACCCCCGACAGTGACCATTGCTATTGTTCGTTCTTCTTGTCCCATTCGTCCATACTATATTTATAAAAATATATTTATAAAAATATATTTATAAAAAAAAAAGATTGTGCATATTTTGCATTACTCTTTTCGCAGATATGTTCTAAGATAAGGAATACCTTAAGTGCAGATACAGGCTCCATAATTTTTACTGTATCCACATGATGTTTCCCATCATAAATGCGGACTCCATAGCCCACCGTGCTTACAGCTGACAAAGATAGCCCGTTTTGCGGTACCGGTAAGCTTACTAGATCTAATATTATACCCGGGATATTGACTTGCCATAATTTTATTCCCTGAAAAATTTATGGATTAGAAATCTAACATAAACTTTGATATTAATATGTTTTTTGTTCAAGTGTTTTGTTCCTATACCCTTTTTGAAAATCCTACGAGAGTACCATCCATAACAGCTACTGCCGCTCCTTCAGAAGTGAGAACAGAAATAGCTACCGCGGGCGCAGGCAATGTTTCCCAAAGTTTTATAGGGCTTCCCCTTCTAATTGCTCCTATTTTTCCATCTCTTCCAATGATTATTATACGACCATCACCTGTCCATAAGCCACAGCTGGCAAACGCTACTGGTGGCCACTCTAGTTGATGCTTATCCATAACTGAAAAAGCTCTGTATGGCAATTAAACAATATACATACAAAATACTCATCAAAAATATAATAAATTTCTTTTTAATTGCATAAGAAACATACCTGGGATCCAAAATGAAAATTTCACCAGCTTCAGTTCCTAATATAAGACAACTACTGGCAGGATCATTCCATGAATCCCTGCGAATAACCGAGATTGCTGTTAGGGCATTGGCTTTGACAAGCGGTACTCGTCTATACTGCTCTGCGAAGCTTAATCGTAAATTATTATCCAAAGAGAGAAACTTTAAAGTGCGAGGAGAAAGAAATGCCGCCCCAAGTTCTTTCAGCAACAATTCCAAGTCGTCCGCGAGAGTTAAGACATTTAATTCTTCATCCAGCCCACATTTATGCCAAATCTGCATCAAATTATTAAGATATTATTTGCATCAGACTATAGATTCTAAATATGAAATTAATCTTATATTATTCTTATCTTATATTAATCTTATATTATTTTTTGTTTGGTCTCTGAACTAAGTATAAGTACTTCTCGCTCTTTTGGATGTGCATCAATATATGGCAAACAATACTTGAAGAAGGGTCTCATATTTTTGTAGATATATACACTGGCCCCAGCTCCTATAGCCACTACAGATGACCGAGATTCTCCATTTTCTGTATAAAACCCGACTACACCACAAGGTGGATCTACCATAGTATGTTCAGTTATCTGGTCACCTCCTTTGTATACTCGTATCTAGAAATGATAATATATTGGCATCTTTTTGTTTTCTTCTTTAAATTATCTCTTCATTTTTATGTTTTATCATTAAGCACCATGTATAAATTAATTGACAAGTTATCATTTTCATAAAATTATTATACCTTTGTCGAATCACTTCCAACTGGTCCTAAATCAGCACAAATCAGTCTAGCATCTCCATCACCACTTATGTCCAGCATATCAAGTCCACCTGGCAGAGAAAATAAACCAGCACTTGGCTCCCAAAGTGCTTCTAGCCAGCGACTCATTCCGAGTCCTCCAAGAGATTTATGATCAGCTCTAAAAAAAATATTAAAGAAAAAATGCACACTAAACAAAAATAATGATATTTTTTATTCTTTTCCTTACACTAATTATAAAAGTATCCTTTACCTTATGCCGTGCATATTAGTTATAAACTTTTGTAATTTTTTTCTATATAAATTAACTTATCTACAATATAAACTTATCTACAATCTAATCACTGATCTATATATCAGAATTTTAAGAGTTTTAATACAAGATATGTATTTATAATATTTTTAACTTTATACATATTGCACAATTCAAATGAAATAAAAAATCCTTGAAAAGTTTTACATGCCAATTTCACAAGTGACAATTTTACAACTTGATAAACTGACTACAAGTGACAGTTTCCGACTACAAGCACATGCATTAAAAATTTATACAGAATGCCACGTGCTTTGTTGTGTATTCGTTTCCATAGAAACCTTCAACGAATAGCGCGGAAGTGGGAAATTCAAAATGTATGTTAAAAAAGAATGAAAACCTAATCCTATAAAAATAATAAAGATGATCAAATATGTGATTGGGAAAGCAAAATTTTATATCATAAGATATTATATAAAAACGAACAAGAAACGAAAAGAAACAGAAACAAAAATAACCAATTTCCATAAAAATATTAATTTGATCTTTTGAACTACATGATTTTATAATAGAGATTATATAGTCAC